GGATCCGAACCCTCGGTGGGAGCACCACCGCGCTTCCCAAGCGGCGCACTGTAGCAGTGCGACACCGGGCCGGCCCTTATTCTGTGTTTTTAATGAGTATTTAAATAAGGAGGTAAGGAAGGAAAAATCACTTGCTACTAGTTAGTTGTTTTTTTAGCTTAGCAATCCCTCTGAATCAATAGCTCCCAATTTTCCTTCTTGTTTGGTCCAATAATACTTTGTGCTACTGAAATGCTCTGTCTCATTCTCCCCAGTGCCCTGGGTGTGCTGTGTCTTCATGGCAACCACATCCTTCCCATGACACAGTGATGGGAGGAGTACTTTTTGCTCCTGCTGTCTTGCTTTCAGTGTGACTTGCCCACACATGTGGGAAATCGTTCCTGCTTCCCATTCAGCCTCACTGATCTTCTTATGGGTAATAAGACTAGCTCTTTTTCAATCACTCAGCGCTCAACATATATTGGGCAAATTAGGTTAACAAAAATACTTCTAAATGGTAAGGAGTTATGCAAATGTAAGTTGTTGCTGCTGTTTTCTATTATTGTTATAAAGATATTAATAATATACATGCCTGCTTTACTTCTGCTCTAGACTCACCTTGACATACTGGAAAAAATTGTCAACCCCAAGCAGGTCTACTTCCGGCGGGAGGTTCTCTGCCAGACGCTGGGAGGGAATCCGTGTCCGTTGGTGACCATCACGGCCATGCCCGAGTCAAACAGTGCCGATCATGTAGAGCAATTCCGTGAGTAAAACTAGGACCCTCTTCTTGAAAGACTTGACTAACGGTGTCCTCTACAGAAGCTCCATAAAGGGTTGGGGAATGTCTGTCTTTATAGAAATACAACCCCAACTCTTCTTGGTGTGACACAAAGGGTAAATATTAATGTTGTTCTCTTGTTAAAGGGAAAGAAAATGAATTGCAGACTGTCAGGGAGATGCAGTGACTTGCTGGGATGGAGAGCAGATTACCAGTGACGGTTACTTCCTCTCATAAAACAGAACCAGGACTCTGAGTCACATTCTCCAACCTCTAGTCCAGGGACTTTCTCATGATGCTCACTGCTGTTGTGCTACTTTCAGTCAAAGTTTGGAAAGGAGGGAAGTTGAGTCTTTGAGCCCTTGTTGACTAATCCCATTGAAACCTGAATGCTACTTGGGTTCAGGTATGAAGGAGCCTCTAGCGTAGAACTACAAAACAAAACCAAAGTCAAATTTAAGTACAGATACACACAGACACACAAAGACATATGCACAGAGATACATAAACACAGAGACACACAGACACAAACACACAGATACATCCTTTTAATGTTAGAGTCCTGATGGACCTGTCACCAACTACCCTTTGAAAATGGCCTCTGACATAGTTTCAGACCTTAGCTAGGCAAGAAAAACCAAGTAGAATGAGGAATGCTTTGGAATACAGAGAGGTTTGGGAGATGGAAGAAAAGAATGGGGAATAAAAACCCAGCTAATTTGTCCCCAGAAGATACAGCTTTACCTGATGAGGTGTTAACTGCATTCAGGTGACTCTTTGGTGGATGCGAAATGTAATTTCTCACACTCCATCAGCATCTGACAATGGATGCTTAACAGCCTGGCTAATCAACAACTGATTATCCCATCTGAATTAATGAGGCCCTAAAATGTTTTAATGAATAAAAAGGGATTTTCCAAAAATTCTCTTATGTGTTTTATGCATTTAAGAACAATTTCTGTAAGTCACAGAGTCTTCCACTTGGCAGATGAGCACTGCTTGGGAGTTAGAGACGACAATCCTCCCAGGGTAACCTTCACTGAGCAATTATTTATGTAAGAAAGTGCATGCGCAGACGACTGTGTTTTTCAGGTTCTGTTTCTAAAGAGGAAGTGAGCGGAAACTCAATGTATAATCATGACATGGAGGTGTCTCTGTTTTTGCTCTTTTGTTTATGCTGACATTGGTGCTTCGGTTAATATTACAACTGCAGGGATCCTTCTTACGTTACGGAGAGAACTTGAAACATGGCAAAGTCCCCTAAATAATCTGGCACTCTGGGAAATAATTCAGTATAAAAAAAGAGAGAGAGAGAAAATATCTCTTAGTACACCCTTATATGAGTCAAAGCAGGCTAGTTTCTGTTTGCACTGCAAGATTAGTTATAATAAACATATAATCTCATACGTCATTACAGTTTTTTTTCCCGTGAACATGTGATTATGTCAGCTGTTGTCCATCTCAAGAGGTATCTTGAGCAGGAGTAGGGAGAGCTCCTATGATGGTCAGAGGAATGCTGTTCATTTTCTTTTTGTCACTTGTGAGTGACAATCATTAAGCTGGATCTCAAGGGAACCGGGGTTCTGTTTTAGGTGAAAGGACTAATTAGGGCTGTCTTCAAGGGTGTGTCCTCTGTACAGCTCCACAGATCCCCTGCTTAGAAGGGTCATGCCCTTTGTTTAATGCTCTTCTGTCAGCATCTTGAAATTCTTTAAAAAGTTTTGAGCAAGGGGCTGTGCACTTTCATTTTGTACTGCGCCTTCCGAATTGGGTAGCTGATCCTGGGAGTGATCATATAGCTAAAAAGTGGCAAAGGCTGGGACCTTCCTTCATTCCAGCCCCTCTTTCTAAATTGTGAAAGAAGAGTTCCAAACTATTTTGCTAGCTCACTGAAAATCTGATTTGTATGAATTATGTATCTTTCATCATCGGAGTTAATTTCAGGACCTCCTATTTTACAGATGGGGTAAGTAGGGGTAAAACCATGGGGTAAAACCATAATCGGTGGTGGTGCCAGATTTCCATCCTTGTTATTCTGACTCCAGAATCCATGCGCAGAATAAATGTACTGATTGCATCACCATAACACGTGTTCAGCAACAACATTCTGTCTTTACTCTTTGAGCCAGAACTTATTCTTTTCCCTGTTGTATGTCCTCAAATTGTTGGAAACTAACTTAGTTGTTAAAGCAACTCATGTTAAATTAGCCACAAACGAATATATGATTCTTTTCCTGTTCACAATAAATTTTATTTTTCTTTCAATAACAGCATTTTCATGGTGGATATTTCAGGTACTGGGGCAGGAAGGGGGAGAAAAGATTTTTTTGGCCTCAGGGTCTTTCTTCAGACCTCCCTCCCCCACAATCTCAGCACAGAGCTGAGACTGCCTGGCCTGGGCTGCACTGCTGGGGACAGTCTCAGCTAGGCTACATCATAAAAATGTACATGCAGGTTGAGATATATACATGAACACATGCCATTGCTATGTTTCTAAAAGAAGAAGAAACCTAGTACAACATAAACACCATCTACTCTCCAAAGTGCAATTAACCATGCCTGTAAACCAGAAATAAAACCACTTAACTTCCTTTGAACCACAGAATGTGATGTATTGATTTAGGGAGAGAAAGCAGTAAATGAACCAGCAGCTCAAGATGCTCGTGCCTCCAGAGCTCCCTCCACATGAGCTTAAATTGTCTTACCTGCTTCCTCTCTCCCAGGGACTAGGTCAGCTTGGGTGCAGGGTTCTATTTACCTGTGATTTGACTAGTTCTGGTTCAGTGGCTGCCACTCACGCCTCTTGAAAAACTTTCCTTCCACTGTGCAGGATTATCACTTGAGTCTTGTTTTAGAAACCTAAGAAATAAGAGCATAAGGCCCCTGGGGAACTCCCCTGCTCAGGGCTGATTGCCCTGCTGGTCTGGTCTATGGTCCTAGACCTGGAGATTATTGAGGATAATTTATTGATTACTTTTAGTTCTTCCCTAGGTCTGGACTCCAGAGAGTCTCCCAGAAGTGGTTATTTGGTTTGATTTATTTTTCAAAAGCATTTTCTTTTAAAAAAGTTGTTTTCCTGGAAACATTTAGTCTTCTTTTCTTTACAAATATATTTTCAGTTCTGTAGTCACCAAACTTGCTGGCTGTACTCTTTATCACTATTTGGAGAACTGAGGATAGTGTCATCTCACAATAGTCCCAATAGAGAAGATTCACTATTTTCCACCTTGAGATTTGAGCCCTCAGAGCCAACGTGCTGGCAGGTCTTCAAGAGGAAAGCCACTCTTTGCCCTTGTCAGTGAGACAGTGAACAGGGAAATTCTCCGAGAAATTGGCACTGAAGCCATTAGGGAAGAGGTGGGCTCAAGGTGACATTTGGTGACAAAAGGGAGCCCTTGCAAAAGGATTAACAGCTGAGTGTAGCATCAGAGACTCTTAGTGATGAATGGTAATTAGGAAGTCCAAGCCCTCCCTAGCTAGTAGGACTCAGGCAGAGAGTGAGAGTGAGGAACGAACAGAGTGATAGAGAGTGGGACTGAAGTACCAAAGTTCCCACAGGTTGGAACAGAAGACATCCGACGAGCAGGTTTGTGGATAAGTTTGGTAGGCGAGATCCATCCAGGAAATTGTTTCTAGTGCTTTCTGAGACCAGTCTCCATTGGTTGGTGGTGTTCTGGGATAGTTACTCTTGGCCTAGTTAAATTCTTTCACCCATTATATGTTAATAGGTACTATGATTACTGTACCCTTTGAATATAGCACTTCCGGGTAGAGGGTTGAGAAGTTATCTTCAGTTTGTGTACTCTTCAGGAACGGGATGTGTGGTATGTGTGTGTGGAGCGGGGTCGGGTGGGGGTGGTGGTAGTGATGTCTGCTTTTTTGGATTTGAACTGAGAGAAGAAGTTGGATGTAAGCAGAACTAGAGAGCAATTCAGAGTAAAGAAAAGTCCTGGGGGCCATGATTTACTAGTGGAAGTGGAGAGGAGTCTTGGAGGTCATTATTAACCCAAACACAGAGAGGAGAGGAGTTCTACCTTTTCCCAGACTCAGCCATTCCCCAATCCAAGCCTGTTTTCTTCTTCTTCCGGCACAGAATGTGCTGCTTTTGTGTGGAATTCACTTACTCCTGACCTTTGGGCCTTCCTGTACATGTCGTCTTTATCTCCATTTTGCAGACGGCCACTCCCTGAAGGTGAATAACCAGCTGCAAAGGTAGTGAGTGGCCATGGAGAAAGAAGACTCCAGGTCTCTATCCCACCTTCCCAGCTATCCCCCTCTTTAGGCTCTACCTGTGCTGGAAAATTCCCTGGAAATGCACAGTCAAAACACGCTGCTTCCTGAAGACCGTTGTCATTTTGTGAACTTTTCCACTTTCTCCATATTTTTCCCAGCCTCCTATTCTAAGTTACTATTTCAGCCCAGAGAAAGTTGAGTCCCATCTCAGTTTGAGGAGTTATGTCTCTGTGATGGTTGCTTCTTATTTCTCAGGAGTTTTATTGCTGAATTGGACATCTCTATGTTCAGACCCTGTAACAACACTGACTGTCGTCAAGAGTGATTTGAGAGAAGGAACTAATTGGTTGGAATTTTCTGAGGGCCATTGCCATTCTCTTAATAGAAACTCTCATTCTCCGAGTGAACAGTCACCGACTGGCTCACTGGTGAGAAGCCAAGAAACAGCAAAGGTGGGTGGGCTGGGGTGGACCTGCTATTTTTGCCATCTGAGACCCCTCCCTCCTGCATTTGTCATAACCTGGAAGAGCAGAGTGCAACCTTTATATGTCTCTGGAGGTGAGATAACCCCACTCGGCTGCCACAGTCTCCTGTGGCTCACACGCTGTTCTTTTCCAGGGGGCCTGAGGTGGGCGAAGCGGGAGGCTGCATTTGCAGTTGTTAAAGAATACCTTTCTCTTTCTCTTTTTCTTAAAAATATTCCTACAAAAGCCATGTTCTATTCAGCCTGACATTATGCTAAAAGCTTTTCCTTGGAAGA